CCCGGGTTCTTAGTTCCCTATAGAAACAAACCTTTATAATTAATTACATCTTAAATGAACGAAGTCACTTAAGAAAACTCTTGATTCAGTGGTTATGTTTTCAAGACTTTAAAGTTTCGTTTTCAATGTAGAACGTAGGAAAGTCAAAAGGGAATAACTCAAAATACAAATAGTTATTTTCAAGAGGCCAAAAAAGTGAAAGGTATGGGATATCACGAATACGAGTGACTTCCCATCTATCTTAGTATTTGGTTTTATGTCTTTAAAATGAAGTTATTTAACGTTTAATCATGCCGATTTTATTATTTAGGGCTTATACTCGCACGATACACGATCGTGTAAGTAGCCTAAGAAGATAAAAGGATTTACGTCATAACACGCGACAATCTCGGCATCCTAAAAAATGTTAGCACTTATATTGCATAGCAGGGCTGTGCAAAAGCCTAAAAGATGATATGAAGCTTTATGTCATGCTAAGCAGACCACATTGAAATCTTATAGCTTGTTATTTAAACTAAGGAAAATGTTTAGTTGATGTTAACTTGTTTTGTTGTTGCAGATCATCATCCTCTGTCTGTTATGTCCCGGTTGTGCTGCCCACGAAGGTTTGATCCATGCTTAATGTAGTAACAGTTTCAGGTTTAGTGTTTTATAGTGATTCAGCCTAGGTAAATTGACTATTATTTTCTATGTTGAAGGTCTTGCAGTAAATTTAAAGCATGCATAAACAAGCTATGCTATAAGGAAGTGCAGTAAAGGAAAACATTGTAAAAAACATTAAAGAAAGCAGTAAAATAAGCAGTACATATGATAAAATACAGTAAGTATAAAATAAACATGTGTACCTGGGGTGTCTGTTGCTCTTGCAAATGGCGTCAGTGTTGCAAGTAAAAGTAAACAAGTATGGTAGAGAATTTAGCAGGTGGGGTAAACAAACATTTGTATATAAAGGAATAAATGACAAGGCATCTCATGAAAAACTTGAAGAAAATCACAAGTGACCCACGGAAACTCAAACAAAACCGTAAGAAACGTGCGGAAAATCGAGGAAAACCATAAGCATTCAAGTGGGGGTAGGCTCAAATTTATCATTCCCGAATGACTCCGTAGGCAACCATCGGTCATCCACATGCATAAAGCCCGACATTCAGCTAGAAATTTCCAACAAGACAATCTTATGAGGACAATTCTTAGCCCAGTACAGGTAATTCACAAGTGGACGATCAGATTCTATCATTTAAATTTTGTGGTTCGTCATGCATATAGTCAAAAATAGTTTTATTTTATTTAGCAATCGAAAGTATTTTTTTATTATAAGGAAAATATATGTTATGTTGTTATATTAAAAACAGATCATCCACGAGTCGATCACACTGTCGGACTAAGACCGCCAGCAGCCTAAGAAGGCAAGAGGCATCGCTAGCCTAGTGTCGGTGAATAATATATACATCCTACATTTTCACCAGATCCCTGGATCGAGTCTCGGAGTCGTAGGAAGCGATATTATTTCACTTTATGAGCACATGTCATTCATCACCGTCTTTAAACTCTGAGACGTCCAACTTACTGCTTTGCTTAATGGTTCATATATAGCCTAAAGTCTATCTGGTTCTCATTACCTGAACTCAAGCTTTACTTCTTTGACCTTCCTATCTTATTTGCAATTGAGACTATACTTGGAAAACCTTTGCAGATAGACTTACCTACAGTTTATTTCTCAAGACCCTCTATTACAAGGATTTTGATTGAAATATATATTATACTATCAAATATAGAAGAAGTCTGGCTTAGCTCTGCTCACAATGATTATTAGCAACAAATCATTATGGAACAAAAACCTTACTACTGCAGGCATTACAAGATATTTGGACATTCGCAAGAGAAATGTTTCAGATTGCACCCACAGTTGAGAAACAATAGTCAAAAGCAGGAATATGCTATTAGTGCATCCTACGTGCCTGAACGCGTTCTCAGCAAACCTGATGACAAACACCTGAGGAGGGAATCACCACAAGACAGGAGTTGGTGTCTGCCCCAGGAATCCCTTCTCCTGACCATACTACAACGGATAATGTTCGAACTAAAAATAAAGATAGCTCCACGGCTCCTATTTAGGAAGCATCAGGTGCAGATGTGACAATTCACAATTCACATACACTGGAACTTATCGCTGTGAAAACGACTGTCTTTTTTTCTACTGCGGTTCTAATATCTAATCAAATTGAGGATCACATGAGTCAGTCTTCAGTTGAAGAATGACAGATTTACACTTCTCGGCGAAAGAAGATGACTGGGGGCACACTCTAACTTGTTAACTTAATGAATCATACTTTGGTTACTCCTGATAAGAATGACAGATTTACACTTCTCGGCGAAAGAAGAGGACTGGGGGCACACTCTAACTTGGAAACTTAATGAATCATACTTTGGTTACTCCTGACAATGACACGATTGTTATCTGGCTCCGCTCCTAAAACTAGAGGAAGAGGCGAGACCAAACTGACTCGTCCCTAGCTACTTGTTTTCTGCATGTTTTAAATTTGTTTTAAATTTTTATTGAGTCTATTTGTATCTTTTTATTGGGGTATTACTATACTTGGTATCGTATGGGCAGGGTGCCTCTATTGGGCCCTCTCATACAACTTTTATGAATCCTTTCTATGTCAATAAAATCAGCCCTTGGGCTTTTCAACGTGTATATATATATAAAAACTATTTTCAAATTTAAATGATTTTCAAAAATTCAGGCCGACATACATTAGCTAAGTATATTGAGTAATTCACATCATTCTCATCACAAAACATGTAGCAGAAATTTTCTCATCATACATCTTTTCACCAGAGGTTTTCTACAGTTGTGGTATCACCGACTGTAGGCTTAAAAACTTATAGACCTTCATATATTAAAATATACCTTGATATCAAATCATGATTTTTCTATTCTGTTCTTTGCTCAAATAATTCTTTTCTCTTATTTTCACTATCATTTTGTCCTTCCTCAAACCTCTTCATTTTTCTCTCTTTCTAGTTCTCGATCTATGTTATCATGGAGTAGATTTAGGATCCCTATCTTGGCTTGAGAAATATGTTGATTCAGTTTAAACATGAAGGGGACACAAAAAGTTGTCACCAAGGGTCTCCTCGCTATATGAGAACCACCAAATTTGAAATCCATCTATTATTCAATTTCATTTTTTGCCTGGTTCGAAATTCATTTATTGTATGATTTTTTTATTTATTTCAGGTTATTGTGTGAAACTATTCATTAATTTATATAACTTTTAGAGAAAGGCTTTGAGGTGGTAGAAAAGTGAGTTAGGATTTCATAATTAGGATCACCAAGGTACATGATTTGACCTTGTTCATTTGGAGTTGAAGGCAACTTGCTCAAGATTTTATTTGAATCAACTTAGAATAATATTTGCATCTCTTGGTGCATGTTTGTGTTTCTTTAATAGTAGATGATCAAAGTTTTTTCTATATTTTTTTGTTTAGCCCATTGTCTTAAATTTTTTATTTGTTCAATTTAATCTTTGAGGTCACCAAATTTGAATCAATTTGGTCCCATCGTCAACGTTACATTTTCTTTGAATGAAAATTTATCGAGGGAAGCTTCATGTGACATGGTAAATTTCTTATGGTCAATCCCAACATTTCAATACAATTTCAAAGTATTAGTATCGACCCTAAGAGTCCAAGATGCTTGTGTAAAACCTCCCTCCATCAATTTTGTCTGAAGGAATAACAAATTTGATTTAAGAAATAAATTGATTTATATTTGATGACTTGAGAGACTAAATCGAGCACATGGTAAAGTTTGGAATTTGAATGAACACGTCTAAAAAATCTAGTGAACTTCGTATATCAATTTCTCACGATCGCAAGGGATGCGTTAAGGCTGATTTCGATCCTGCTCAATCCGGGATGGCGCGAACTGTGAAAATTTGGGTTTTCTGGATTTTTCTTGCTTTCTCATCCTCTTCCTTTGTGTATAAGCTTCCTCAACCCCGGGGGGGATGGTGTTGGGGTTGGAGGTGGAGCCTATAAATTGTTATTATAGGTTTGCTGGGAGGAAGTGCTAGTAGAGTTGTTTTTTAATCTTCTGTGTGGAGTCTCTTTCCCCTTCGTTAGTTGTATTCGAGAAGGTGGTGGCGCTTCAACTGTATCCTCTCCCAAGTGGTGATTATATCTTCCCTTTCTACCAACCCCAAAACTCTCCTCTTCACTCCTCTGCCACAAAACTCTCCCACTGTCATCCCGACACCCAACCATTCCCCCTTCCTGCGGGTTATTACTGTCCCGCCCTCTCCCAAGTGGTGATTACTGTCCCGCCTTCCTAACGTCGTTCAAGGTCCTCTCAACCACCCTACTACCGCTGCCGACCACCTACCACCCTTCCCACTTGCTGTCCCTACGGCTCTACACTTTCACGCCGCCTTCCTAACGTCGTTCAAGGTCCTCTCAACCAGCCTACTACCGCTGCCGACCACCTACCACGCTTCCCACTTGCTGTCCCTACGGCTCTACACCTTCACCGTTCGCTACCACTCGCCTTCCGAGGCTGTCGTCATCATCCCTCCCAATCATCCCTATCCCTCTGGACAACCTCCAACACCCATTGGAATACATATAGGAGCGTTTGCCAACGTTGTTGTCGTCATCCCTCCCAATCATCCCTATCCCTCTAGACGACCTCCAACACCCATTGGAATACATTTAGGAGCGTTTGCCAACGTTGCTTTATGTCTGTGTTGTTATTTTCGTTTGAGTCATATTGTAACCCTATTTTAATATCAATGAAAGTTTGCTTTTTGTGTTCTATTATTTATCCTAGTAGTTATGGTATCAATACTTATCTAATCTAGCTAAGTTTATAAAATCAAATAATAGAAAAATGATTGTTAAGTGCTTATGATGCTTTTGGAATTAGCAAAGCCATCATCAACCGTTGAAATTATTTTTCTTAAATATATGTAAATAGTTACGTCTGTCCCAAGCAGGTTCGTGCATATGCTGTGAGTGTTCTTGCCAGAGCTGATGATGAAGAGCTCCGTTGTTATTTACTTCAATTAGTGCAAGCTCTCCGGTTCGAGAGATCTGATAAGTCTCGGCTGTCGGCCTTCCTTGTGCAGCGTGGTATGTTTACTGTTTATCTTTCTGAGTATGTTGCATTGATTTGCCAAGACCATTTTATTTTCATATTTTCTGTTTAGTAGTTCAACGTTTGCCTTGGACTTCAATCTTGAAAACATTTTTTGCTTGAAATGGAGTTTTGATGCTGTAAAATGTTTATCATTTTTCATAATTATTTTGCATTTTGATATATGACACCTAAATTTTGATATTTATATTTATAACACTTTTGTGTCACTAATTTATGCATTAGAAAATGTACTTCACTTTAAAAAGTTAGTATTAGCAGTATTTTTGATGTGATATTAAAAGGTGTATTTCACTTCTTAAAAAGTTAGTATTGGTGGTATTTTTGATGCAATGTTAAAGTTTAGAGTGTTATGTATATAAATTCCGAATTTTAGGTGTTAGATGTGTAAATATAAAAGATTTGTGTAGTATAATGTAAGTGCCACTTTTTTAGTGCAACATTCCTTGTTTTTTACTCCGTTGTCAACTTCCATGGTCTCAATGTCGGATCCTTTTTATGTGTGGTTTTCGATTTTTTCTTGCCCCTCATCATTTTTTACAAATGCTTGGATTAAAAATTTTGGTTTAAAAATATTCAAAAACATGTAAATATCAAAGAATTTTAAAAATTCCGGTGTAGGGATAAAAATTTGTGGAGAGTGAAGATTCTTGTGGAAGAAAAAAATCTCGGTGAGGAGGAAGGGGGAGTCAGCGGCCCTAACAGCAGCAGAGGCTAATAGTGAGGGAATAGGTGGCATTAGGAATGGCCAGTAATGACATCAATCCAATGAAAAGCTGCGATTGCTTGAGAAGGGAGATTTCTTGCACAGCAAGGGCGCTGTCGGAAGCGGTAGGTGGTGGCGGTGCTACGGATGGCTGGCAGCGGTTGCAGCCCATGTAAAAACTGTAAATTGCATAAGAGAGGAGATTTTGTGTGCAGCAAGGGGCAGTTGTGGCGGCGCTTGGAGATCATCCATTTTTGAAAAGGCGGATTTACATACATAGCACACAAAAGATTGGAATTTATATATTTAACACTCAAACATTGCTATTTAGTTACATAGCATTTACAATATCAGAAAAAGATAAAAAATATCAATTCCTGTTAAAATATTCTCACCTCATTACCGAATCATCTCATTGCTCTTCACTGTCGGTGTGGTTAAATCCATTCCATCTATGAATAAAATGAAAAATAAATAGAAACATGCATGTGAATATTGATTTAAACATTGAACCTGAGCAAGGAAATAGCTCTTTAGCTTCAATACAATCTTAGCATGCACCTAAATCTGAAATAAGGACTTCTGTTCTCCTCTTATCTTTCAACGCTGAAAAGTAAAATCTCAGTTACCCACTATCAACATGGCTTGGAATATACCTTGAGCTGTGAGTCCTTCCCAGCACAAATTCTTCTATGCTTCCCTTACTCTCTACTCCTCTCCATCTCCAAAATCTGCCATTTACACTGAATAGCTCACATCGCTACTGCTCTGCAAAGCCTTCCAATTTCCATGCTCAAGGCTGCAACTAAGGGCGACGAGGCTGGAGGCATAATGACGAGGCAAAAGATATTAGCAGTATGTGTTATTTATTATCTTAGTTTGACGTTTTGCCATGTAAGTAAATAGCAAAGTTTAGGTGTTAAATATGCAAATCTCATTGTTTTTTGTGTTATGGATGTAAACCCTCCAAAAAAAAACCTAGACCATAGAGGCATTTTAACATTTGGCAAAATAAATAAAAAACCCTCTAAAATAAGGAGATGTTGGTCTCACCAAATGCAAGCCTTACAGTTTTGGAGTCAAATTGTAATGAGGCGCGGCTTGAAACAGTACTGAATATGTATGTAATTGTTGTTATTTACCAAGGAACTTTGTGATTGGTTACTTAGTGTTGTCTTCAATCTCGGGTTAGGGTTTGGTAGGGATCTCTTATCTCTCAAATTATAGGTATTTATTTTTTTATATATTTCAGATTGTATTGTTTTGTTTGGTAACGGTGGAATTAATCTATTCTTTTTGCCTTAATTGTCGTGGAAAATTATCACATTTTTATCAAATTGGTATCAAAGAAAGGGTTTTGTGTGTTTTTAAAGTCATGATTCAAGCGAACTAAGATGCCAACGACAGGAATAATCGTGAACAAACATCGCAAAACAACTATACAACCGCGATTCAACCACCAACGATGGGTCATGGTGTGACCGCATTTTATGATACAACGATACAACGGTGATTCAAGTACCAGCAGCGAGATCGTGACATGATCGAACCTTGCGATACATCTATAAAGTCGAGGTTCGAGGTAGGAGGATAGAATGGATGAAAATAAGAGAAGATGGCACGAGCAATTACTAGAAGCGTTATAATCTTCATAAAAGAAAGACTTAAATAATAACTTTTGTATGAAAATCTTTCTATGAAAATTTATAAAAGTCCATGGTTAGTCATTTGGATCGAGGTTAAGAACTAGCTCCTGTAGAGTGTCGAGTTGACAACTCTTATTCAAGATCGGGAAGCACACAACCCAGCTCTGAGCCCCCACTTTCACCAAAGTCTTATACCCAGTCCTGATCTTTCATATGTCGTCATATGTTTCTTTTGCTTGTGATTTTTACTACTCATTTGTTATGACTTTCATGCTGGGTTTTCTTGCCTTATTTATTTTCTTACAAGTTTATTTAAATCTACTGTCAATCATACTACGCTCACAACACTAATAACGCGACAGTAGCAGATGCCCAGGTATGCTTTTACAGTTTATCTACAGCATTTTACTTCACTGCGTTTTACCTTTCAAGTATCTTTTATTTAATTGTAATTTTACTACTCTGCATGTAAAACCAGAACTGAAATCAAAACTGAAACAAAACAAAACCAAACTTTGACACTAAAGCTGTGAAACACAAATCACCAATCTCAAACACTTAAACTTTGGAGCCATCGCGACGACAGGAGCTTGGAACCAACTTTCTGGGCAGCAGGACGAGGAGGTTGGAGCGAGCAGAGGATCTTCTTCAGCATTATCCCTTCCTAGTATAATAACCCATAGGACTTCGAGGTAGCTCGCCTAGCGCGACGTAAATTCTCACACTCCCTTTTTTTAGGCCCCTGCACAATCATGTTGTGCAGCATAAGTCCTAACTCGCTTTAGGTTTCGAGGTTGTTGTGTGGTACAACGTAAACCCTCTTATCTCTGCGGGCTATTTGCATAATCAGGTATTATGCAAGTGTAAGTCCCAAATAATAAAACTGGCAAGATCAAACACTTAATTAATTTCATCTCCAAAATATAGCCACATCGTAGGATAGTTTGGGAAGTCACTGAGGATTCTCCTCAGGATCTATGACATCCCCTACCCTTTCTTTTATTTGGACTCCTGAAATAACTGTTCCTATTTGAGTCATTCCCACTTGATTTTCTTCGTTCTACCGTGAAAACCTAAACTTTGGAATTTTGAAGACTAGAACCACTGATCGTCATCGAGAGTTTTCTCAAGTGACCCCAGTCATTTGAGATGTAATTAACTATAGGGGCTTGCCTCTATAGGGAACTTGGAACCCAGGTAAAATAAACCCTATTTAATCTTTGTATTAAATAGGGGAATTTGTCGGTCATAAATAAAATGTTCGCAGACCAAATGGATGTCACAAATCTTTAGTTTGCATTATTAGGCCTATTATCGGGGTCTACACTTTTCTCTTGGAATGTGTAGTATTCAGGGTGTCAGACACGATTATGCAAATTATTGTACTAGTTTGCAGGATTGAGTCTATCGCTGAGGTCTACACTTATCTCTCGAGAGGGTGTAGTATTCGCGGTATCAGACACGATTATGCAAACTATCAGACTAATGAGATCCATTTGGTCTCATTTTTCAAAAATTAAAACATACTACTTTCAAAAAACCAAACTATATATCTATTATATTAAATTAAATTTCAAAAATTAGTTTCATATTTAATATTTTCATAATCTATCGAAAAAGTTGACCGACACCCCCCTTCTTATTTCCTATTTCGCTTCCTTCCATAAGAGGATCCCCTTCATATTCTTTTGTCTGCCTTTTCTATCCCTTTCCTTTTCTGTTTCTTTGCAATTTGTATTTCTTCTTATTTTAACTACTAGCTATTATTATATATATGTTGTTTGTTTGCTTGGGGATGATTGCATGCTTGTCTTTGATTTCCATTTGCTGGCTCTAAGGTTTGCTTCGTACTGAGGGTTGTATGTGGCAGAGAAAATATGCTCATGATGTAACTCATCCGAGGTGGTGATTATCTCCGCTCTATCCATTTCTTTCTATTGCCGCTGTAACTTCGCCATTACCAGAGTTTAACAGTGGTATGGATCCAGATGATTTTATTGACCAGTTGCAATCGGTAGATCAAATCTTTGAATATAAGTAGGCGCCAGAGGATATGTGGGTGAAATTAGCATAGATCCAATTGAAAAAGAGCACATCTTTATGATGGGAAAATCTACAGAGACAGGAAAATAAACGGTAGTGATAAGATCAACAAGTGGGAAAAGATGATGAAAGCAATGCAGAAGAAATATCTTCCACCCCAGTACCGCAATGACATGTTTCTGAAACTCAACCACCTACAACAACGAGACCTTTTCATGGAGGAAATCATAGTACAGTTCGACCAGTTACAGATTATTACTTGGTTGTTTTTAATTTCAATTTGTTGCATCGAAGGCGTTATTTCCTTCAAGGGTTGTATTCATTAAAGGTGTTGTTTCCTTCAAGGATCGAACCCTGAACCATCTAGTGCCCGCTGAGACTCTATATGAAGATGGATGGTCTAATACTAAACACAAAGTGTACCAACACTACTCAGAAGAAAGAATAATTGCACGTAATGAAAAGAGAGACGCTTACAAGATGGTTTCATATATAGCAAAAGACTTTATATGGGCACTTATGTGTTAGACATAAGCACCGAAAACGAAACAAGGAAAAAAGAATAAAAAATGGGGATGAGAGAAAAGATGAACTGATCCACCCAAAAGATCGAAAAGACGAAGGGTGAATCAACCCTCAAAACTTGTAATGAAAAGATTTTAAAAGGAAAGCCCAAGATTCTTGAATCAATCCAAGAAGGATATCATTTTCTCATATTTTATAAATGGATAAACCCAAAAAGGGCATCCCTTCCAAATTTTGGCTTCCAAATTTTGGTTCGAACAGGTCAAAACGGGCCCGAATTAATGTGATAATTAAATACACGGCTCCATCATCACTTGCATAATCACACACCTTAGCCTGAACTCAAATGTGATGTTTATGTTATCCAAACCTTAATGTCAAACTTCCAAACTCTTTCTGAACTACAATTTTATAAACTTTCATACCCTTTCCAAATGGCAATCTTGTGAGTTTTCTAAAACAGTATTTTAAAGTCTTTCAAATTTCATAAATCGAATAAAAGGAAGTAATCCACCAACGATATTCTTCAAAATTCCTTTCAAAATTCTTCTTCAAAATTCCTAAAATCTTGCAAACAATAAAGCCGTCTAATTCCAATTTCAACCACAGACCTCTCGCACTGTACAAATGCAATGTTATCTAAAATAACATATAAGTGCTCATGGCCAGGGCAATCAAGAGGGCAAAATGAGCCCAAATAAACCTCCAACAGGCTCACGGGTGGGGTCGAAAAGAACACAACCAAGCTCCAACATAAGCTCACGATTAGGGGCAGTAAACCAAATCCACCAAACCAGCTTCACAGCAAAGGGGGAACATGAAACAATCAAACAAGACAAAAGGAAACCAGCTGGGATGCTCACGGGTAAGGGCAGCAGCCCACACAACCAAACCATATGATAAGCCCACGGGGAGAGACCAGAAAAAACATAGTCAAGCTCCCCATATAAGCTCACGAGTAGGGGCAGCAAGGGGAAAGCCTCTACATATATTGTTATTGTACTCTTTCTTTCTTTTTTTTTATATATATACATAAGAGAGTGAATGGACAAGTTCTTATAAATCATTCGAATTGAAACCGTTTTTCATCGAACAAGACATGATAGTGAGTTGGTCTGCTTATATCAAGCATTCCCACATAGAAGCACATATTGAAATCATAATTTTTGGGATGACAAACTTGATTATCAACAACAATCCCAGGAGGTACATCATCCGGAGAACCTTCAATCAAACCCAACCCAACAAGAGAGGCAAACAAAACGACAGTTTGGATAAATTGAGTTTAGCAAGAAGGCCAAAACAGAGAGTCATAACAGGTAGACCGAAACCAACAAAGGAACAAGACAGAAAACCATGACAGGCAAACTGAGCCTAGCACAGGGACAAAATAAAACACAATTTCAGCTCAATTAAACCCAGCAAAAGAGAGCAAAAAATGTAATATAATTTCCACAAAACTGAGCTTAATTTTAAGCCAAACCAAACCCAATATAAGGGAAATCCCAACTAGATACTCTCGGGTAGATGCAACCAGAGAAACCACCAACCCAAAACAACAACTTTCAATTCACGGGTAAGGACAACCAAAGAGGAAAAGTCACCTGCCAACAAATACAAAAGGAGCCACGGGAGAGGGCTCACGGCCAGGGATAGTCAATGGGAAACCGCCAACCATTTAGGATGTAAATCCCCCAACCCAACAGGAAAGCTCTCAAACGAAAAGCTCATAACGAAAAGCTCAAGGCCAAGAAAAGCAACACAGGGCCACAAAGCAAGCCCGAAAAGCTTCAAAATCTTATCTTTCCATCTACAGGGGTTTTGAATCAGAGAAAGAAAACAATAACGAAAGTAAACCTTCATGAAATAAATTTTAGAAGCGTTCAAAGAGAACATTTCTTCCAACATACGATTTGAAAAAGAAGGGGCAGCAGCTGTAAGGAGCAAAAACATGACTCAAAACAACTATAAAAGGTTTTTAAAAAAAAACAAATTTCAGCTGTTCATGCGTTTTGATCATAGAAGGCATCAAAAAGACAACAAAAATCATGCCTCAAATATGTTCAACACAAAGCCAATCCAAAAGTAAGGCCTAACCCAACAGATAACCAAAACCCAACCATCACGAGGCAAAATCGAGCCCAATACACAAGGGGCAAAAAAAACTGAACTTTTTCAAAGCAAAAATCGAGCCCAGAACAGGGGCAAACCGAGCACAATATAAGGGACCAACAGGGCCATCAAAATCAGATTTCATAAAGCAGATTTCATAAAGCCTTACCTTATGCCTCAAAATTTCTTGCACCCAACATATGTTTTGAATAAAAACATGTAATGGAAAAACAAATAAGTATAAATGAATTCCTAAAGTTAAAATGTCTCAGCATTGAAACGAATTCCATCATTTACTTGAACAAGAATATCAATAATAAGGAGTTTCAACATTTTATTTCCAGCATTTGTTCCAAATACGCAAATATCATCGAAGAGCAACAACTAAAGCTTCCAAACTTTCATTTATCTTGCATTTTGAGCAGAAAAGAGAAAGTACCCGTATTATGCTCCATTTTTACTGTTTCTAGAAACTATCCATGCTTAAATCTCAAACAAGCCTAAACTTTACTTTCACATGCTTTAGAAGGGAAAAATGAGTACTTTCAGGTGCAAATTCAAATGATGCAGATTAGAGGGGAGAAGAGAAATACCTCTTAATGCAGACTTAAAACAAAACTAAGAGAAATACCTCTTAATGCAGACTTAAAACAAAAATTTTAGAATAAATTTAAGAAAAAAATGCTTCCTGTAGAAATTTTTCTCCCAAAACCTTCGAGAAAGCAACGACCCAAGAACACCTCACCACACAAGAACCTGGTCGAGGAGGAATTTCGGCAGAGCCTTCTCCTAAAAGCCTCACACAACAACTAGCGAAAACCTTAACCTTCCTTTCTCTCAGAAAATTTTCAACAACACACCATCGTGCTCTAAGAACCCCTTTTATAGGCTGAAATCAGAGGGGAACAACCACCTACCAGGATTTCATGGTCCAATAAAACAATGGGGAAGGAATCGTCACAATAAAGAAGGAGAAAGTTAAGTCTCAGGAAGAAGAAGGGTCGGCCAACCGAGCTCCCACTATTGGAGAGCCTAGCGGTCGAGCGGCCACGCAAGTAAGGAGGAAAGTTGAGAGGGGGGAGATTGTTGCGTGGATGAGTCACAGGATTTAAGGCACGAGAGGGGGCGAGCCGAGCGAGCCATGACCGGGATGGAACGAGGGTCACGCATGCGGGTAGGGATTAAGTAGGGTTTAGGATTAAAATTAATATTATAAGTAATAATATAAATATAAAAATATTTAATATTTCAAAAAGTAAAAATTTGATTTCTACATTTTTATTCGTGCGTCACAACATAACAAAATGAATGTCCTCTTTAGGTAATTCTGACGTTTTGGACGTGTTAGTGTGGTCTGTTTCGTCGTCAGAGGTCGTTTTGATGAATTCTTTGATTTGCGTGCAATTTTCTCGTGTGCAGAATTATGGCAATATTAGTGTATTTTCTATCTAAAATTGATGTCCCGGACGCGTTGGCACATTCCATTTCGTCGTCGGAGGTCGTCTGGAGGAGTTCGCATTTCCACCCATCCTTTAAGCTTAATTTTAGTCTGATCTTATGCAACTTAGTGAATTTTATGCATTTTGTGTATGTGTGTGTGATGATAAAGTTCTGAAGAGGTTTTCCTATGGTTTGAGATCCTATTGGGAACTTCTCCTTGAGTCTCCACATGATAGTCCTTAACCACTCTACCATACGACGATGGCTTTGAGATCATTAATACGAGACATCACAAGAGAAATAGGAAGTGGCTGGAATTAATAATAGAGATGGGTCCCAATACTAGTCTTCTAAGATAGTCAATAGGAATTCTTAGAGCTAGATCCTAGAATCTAAGAAGGAGAGAAAAATGACCTCAAAATGATGTCAACACTCGTTCCTATCAATTTCTTGCTTAATATTTAACCCACTATGCAGAAAATCTTTTATACTGTATGATTTTCAATTATGTTATAATCTTTTGCTCTGAAAAATTTACAGCACTATCCAATATTGAGTTGGCTAGCTTTCTTCGGTGGTATGTGGCAGTAGAACTTCATGATCCTGCATATGCGAAGCGTTTTTATTGTACTTATGACATGCTAGAAGATAGCATGATGAAGGTATGTTCTATTATTTCATTTTGTTTTAGTTTGTGTATTGCACTTTTAAAAACTGCATTAGTAATATTTTCATTGTTTTCTTTTTTAACTGATTAGTCACTTGCAACTGCATAAAATTTAATCTGTTTTTTCGATGTCTAGTTGAAAGTTGGTGTCAATGTCGACGAAGATGGTTTTAAATCTTGGCAGAGTTTGGTTCGACAAACAGAATTAACAGCTCAACTTTGTTCTATTATGAGAGATGTTAGGAATGTTCGTGGCAGTACACAGAAGAAAATTGAGAAACTAAGGGAGCTCCTTTCGGGACTTCTCAGTGAACTTACCTATTTTGATGAGGTTTTTAGTCTACCTCTTATTTTCCTGTCATGATTGTATTTTTAATAAACTTTTATATGCTTGTTTTTTATTGGGGCATTTACATGCATAGAAAACAATTCTTTTTTATTTACATATCTCACACCTAAACTTTCATACTTACATGCATAGCACTCAAATATTTAATATCACATAAAAAATAATACTATTATCACGTTTTAGAAGTCAAATATACCTTTCCATGCATAGGTTTAAAGCACCATGGTGCAATTTATGTAAACATGAAAATTTAGTGTGAGTTATGCAAATACATAAAAATTGTGTGCTATATATGTGAATTTCTCTTTCTTTTATTAATGTTGTTTTATGATGAATATTTTGTGGTTTTTTATTTTTTTCAGCCAATTCGTTCACCTTTGGCGCCTGGAATCCTCATAACAGGAATAGTACCATCAGAATCATCACTTTTTAAGAGTGCTTTGCATCCTTTGCGTCTAACATTTAGGACAGCAAATGGCGGAACATGTAAAATAATCTTTAAGAAAGGTGATGATCTCCGGCAGGACCAATTGGTAAGCACAACTTTAATGAAGCAGAAATTGTTTATCCTTTTAAACTATATTTTTTAAGGTTTTTGTTGAATCACATGCTTTGGTGCTTATTTTTTGGGTATGATATTCTAATTTTGCTTTCCATCAATGGCACGCATTGCATGTGATCGTGATATAAGAACAGATATTTATTGCTTTATAAATATTATTTCAGCATTTTATTTAGAGATGATGAGTCCAACATGTAAAGTTTGGATTTTGGTCAACCCATATATGATTTTGGTTGGCTTCGTGCTGGTACAAGTGATGAAAAAAATAGTTCAGGTTTGGGTCAACCTGGTCATAATGGCTTAATCCCCTTGATTTTCTTAACTTAAAAATTATATTAAATTGTAATTTTGTTTTTAATTTGTATCCAAATCTTGTTAATATATGAATTTTTGGTCAATCTGGCTCTAAATAGGACGCAATGGAGAAAAAGGATTCATGTAGCCGACCCCACATTATGGGATTAAGGCTTTGTTGTTGTATTGTATTGTATTGGCTCTAACTTGGCCTCTACCCCGCCAAAAAAAAAAAATTGTGTTGTGGCTAATTAAATTTAACTGAAATCTTCAACGAATTTAATAAACAAGTCGAGTTTGGGCTAATTATATTCAGGTTATTTACTTTTGGCCAAAGCCAACTCAACCCATCAACTCTTATTTAATCTTGGTTATGATAGTAGTGGGGGACCTAACACCTAAAATTTACTTTTTGCATTTATACCACCCAAATCTTTCATATTACATAAAAAATACCACCATTTACTTTTAAAACGAGAAATACATCTTTTCATGCATAGGTAAGGTGGCATGTATGTAACAATTGAAGTTTAGGAGTTAGATATGTAAATACGTAAGAATTGAGTGGTATGTATGTAAATCTTCCTTTTTTTATATATCTGAATTATTACAACCTTGCTTGTGCAGGTGGTTCAGATGGTTTCTCTAATGGACCGATTGCTTAAATTGGAGAATCTAGACTTGCATTTGACGCCATATAGAGTACTTGCTACTGGTCAGGATGAAGGAATGCTGGAATTTATTCCATCCAATTCTCTAGCTCAGGTATTTTTTATTACAAGTAAAAATTCTATTAATTTTATATTATTCGGCTTGAAAAATAAAAATTTAAATGCAGCTACTAGCCTGCAAATTGAGGTTTTTTAAAAATAGAAAATAACTTTCATGACTTTCTATGAAAGAAATTCTTAAACTCACTTCCACACGTGAGTTCTAGCCATTTTATCTTACATCAAATTAGCTCATAATGGAGCAAATGAATCATACATTGGCTGATTCCATTTATAACATATCTACAATGCCATGATACTGCAGCTAAAAACTTGTAGGCCGTTGGTGTTTTGCAAATTAAGCTTTTGCATAAGCTTTATTTTTTTACTTTTTGGTTTTATTCTTATTGGAAGCATGCAATTTTTTTAAGTTTGTCTGATCTTGTTGCGCTTCCATGGTTTTTTTTTTTTTTTCAGATTTTATCTGAGCACCGGAGTATAATAAATTATCTCCAAAAGTTTCACCCAGATGAAGATGGGCCCTTTGGTATAACAACTACATGTCTTGAAACATTTATAAAAAGCTGCGCTGGTTACTCTGTTATCACATACATATTGGGTATAGGGGACAGGTAATTTGTGTGTGTGGTGTTAAACTAGGTTCAAATTGTATCAATGATTTTCAGACCTTTCTGGGTGACCGTTATAGATCAGTTATATGCCTTATGATAAATATTATTGTAGTTTACTGTTATTCTTTGATTTTAGGCATCTGGATAATCTTCTCTTAAGGGATGATGGGCGCCTTTTCCATGTTGATTTTGCCTTCATTTTGGGACGAGATCCAAAGCCATTTCCTCCACCCATGAAACTCTGCAAAGAAATGGTGGAGGCCATGGGTGGAGCAGAAAGGTAGCTATTCTTTTGCACCTATGTGAAAATATGGCTACAACATGATATCATGATCAAACTTAGACATTTTGTCATTGAATTTTCTTTGAAATGCATGCCTTACATGATTAATCTATCAACTTTTATATAATACTTATCTCAAAACAAATCTAGTGGCTACTTATGACTCATTGGAAGCACATCAACTGTTTCTTGTAATCTTATATTGAATGTTTCTAATTATTTTTTATCTTCTCATTGCTTCTCTTGCAGCCAATATTACACCAGATTTAAATCTTATTGTTGTGAAGCATACAACATTCTAAGGAAGTCGAGCAACCTTTTTTTGAATCTTTTTCATTTGATGGCTGGTTCCAGCATTCCTGATATAGCTTCTGATCCTGAGAAAGGAATCCTTAAGGTATTATTTTTTCCATAATTAATTTGATGATTATGCAATTGCAGTATATGACAATTTGGATTCTCTTTACAGCTTCAGGAGAAGTTCCGGTTGGACTTAGATGACGAGGCTTCCATACACTTTTTTCAGGATCTTATTAATGATAGTGTCAGCGCTTTGTTTCCTCAAATGGTTGAGACAATTCATAGATGGGCTCAGTATTGGCGTTGATCATCAAATCATATGAAGTTTATGGATATGGTATGGTGTTCTTCTATCAAGTTATCGTCTGTCGTTTGGGTAGCTTATTGTGAGGACTTTTAAAAATTACTTTCTCTACTGCAACATCTATTCTATAGCGCTTCAATGTTCACCATTCTAAAGTAAATATTAACAAATATATTGAGAAGTGATGTAGCACGAGAATGTGGCTTTATGATTGGCTTCCTCCACAAGTTTACTCAAGTTATAATATGTATTGTAATGTATTATATTATTATTGTGATATTATATTGTATTATTAATGTTATGTAAGGATGTATTTTCATTCCATGCAAAAAATGGTGAATAAGTTTTTGTTGTATTAACTATTAAGAGGTATTATGAAACTATTCTAAAGTGGTCATATATGAAAGCTAATTTTAAGTCAAAGGTTGCATTAAATGATAGACATGCAACTTGCCATGCAAATAAATATCGCATACAAATACTTGTACCATTTTTTATTTAAATAAATACTATTTCTCCTACCAGAAAAACAAAAATATGTCACAAACAAAGCTTTAATATGCTAATCTGTGCTTTTTGAGCTCATTTGGCATCACTATGTAGATTGTGCTTGTCACCTTACATAATTTGGCTCTAAATTAGCGAACTATATGAAAGAAAATATGGTTTTTGTAGTGTTCATAATGATTTAATTTTCATATATAGTTTGTGTTACATGTTGCCAAGATGTGCAATGACTACCAATATTGAATGGAAGCTTCATTGAACAAAACAAGTTTTTAATTAAATTGATCCATATAACTCTTTTACAAGTTAAATATTGTTTTGTTTCCAGCTACAATCGTATGAATTACTAAGCCTAATGTGGAATGTATTGTTTGGCATGGTTTTATACTATAAAAATGCACCTTTAATGTTATGATAAGGTTTCCCTTTCATGTGTCTAATGAAGCTTTATAGCTGAAGCTAGGATGAATCATTTTTATTGTTAGAAAAATTCTTCAATCAATGTGTATATATTGTGCGAATTATTCGTTAATTTTGATTATATGAATGCTCTATTTTTTCGTAAATATGTTTTCAGATGGAGCTTGGATTAGGATGACACGGGGCTTCATGGCTACAGTATCATTAATGGTTGAGATATTATGTTATTTTATTATAATATAAAATTTGAATTGGATTGAGTTTAAAAAATCCATGTAGTTACTTTTTTATGAGTGCATTCATAAAGAACTAATTAAAATTTAAATTTCATTCATTTCAAAATAAATCCGATAGATTTTCAACTGTTCTCACCTAAACTTTTCATTTTTTTCATCATTGTTTTGTCTGAAACCTGGGATTGGGACATTTTATGTTTTTGTATGTGCCTATGTCATAGAAATATTAAAAAGAAATCATTGGTTTGTCTCATTTTTGTTTTTCTTTTTTTATATAGGAATTAAGTTAATGTGATATGCATTAAAATTATGGGAGAGTGATTGATTATAGGTTATGACGTGATATGAAAATTTCTCTAAATCAGTTTAGATTTATGCCGAGCAATTCTACAATGGAAGCTATTCATTTTTTGAGAGGTTTGATGGAAAAGTATATTGAAAAGAAGACCTATGTCTGATTATTGTTGATTTAGATAAAGTTAATGATAAAGTTCCAAGAAAAGTATTTTGGAGAGTTCTAGAAAAGAAAGGTATTGATATTGCTTATATTCAATTCATTAAATATAAGTATAATAGAATTGTTACTTGTGTTCGAACACAATAAGGATTGGCCAAATATTTTCCTATTTCAGTTGGATTGAATTAGAGATCCACTTTAAGCCCATATCTTTTTGTTTTGGTTATTGATGTTATTACTGAACATTTACAGGAGGACGTACCTTAGTGTATGCTTTTCGTTGATGATATTTTTCTTTTAAATAAGACTAGAGAGTTCAAGAAAACTTGAATTATGGAGGTTTAACTTTAGAGCCTAAATGCTTTCGTTTGAGTAGATCTAAAATTGAATAAATGGAATGTAATTTTAGTAATAATAGATCTATTGGTGAGGTTGTAACAATGGGTAATCAAGTTAATAAAGGGAATGAGCATTTTAGATATCTCGTGTCTATTATTCAAATTATTGGTAAATTGATGGTGATATAGATGAGAATGTTATTAGTAGAATTCAAGTTGGATGGTTGAAGTGGAGGAATGCGTTGGGCCTATTTTGTGATAGAAAAATACCGCTTAGACTTGAAGGAAAATTTTATAAGATTGTGGTGAGATTGGTAATGCTTTATGGCACATAATGTTGGCATGTAAATGAGAAACATAAAATTAAGTGTTGTTGAGATGAGAATGCTCAGGCGTATGAGTGGCTTTACACTTAAGAGACAAGATGTGAAACAAACATATCCGTGAAACTGTTGGAGTTGTTCCAGTGGCAGACAAGGTTAGAGAGAGTCACCTTAGATAGTTTTGTCACATTAAACATCGATCATCTGATAGCCCAGTTAAGAGAGTAAATGTTTTATATTTGACTTATGCTAAGAATGGTAGAAGTACATCTAAGAAGACGTGGACATGTTCTATAAAAAATGATTTTAAGTTATTAAAATTATATAAAAATATGATACTCATTTGGACACAATGGGGAAAAATGATTCATGTAGCCGACCCCATTTAGTGGGATAAAGGGTGGTTGTTGTAAAGAGCCATAGGATTTTATGTATATGTATATGTCCTTAAAGAGCTATAATTTGCAAAAAAATGTAGGTATTAATAATACTATACAATGTACTTTTATTTATTTTTTCATGTTTATTTGTATTCAAGCATCCATGTGAATTTTATTATTGTAGATGAACTAATGCTAGCTAAGTTATGATTGAGACATCCATGAGCCTCTCATTAAAGAAAAATTTATCAGAATGTAACATTTATTTGAAAATAAAAATATTTAATATAAAATAGAATTTATTTAAATAATAATGCAAGACAGTCTTGAGTTGTTTTTAGTTGCGATAAAAATTCTCAATTAAAAATTTCAACTTCAGAATTTTGCCATAATCACTTGTTCTTTCATGCTCATTTTGCATGCTAAACTCATTAATGATAAATTTTTTAATGAATGCTACTTGATTGTGCAGTCACCATCATTGTAAGAGGAAACATTTCAACATTAGTTATTTCATTAACTTAATATTTACATTTAAGATTACTTTGTCTAGAATTTTTTTGAGTTTTGGGTTTATTAATGCTTATATTGTTGGTGTCTTTCGTTTCTCTTTTATTAGTTATATTTTTGTTTTCCTTATTGAAGTAATGCTAAAGACTTGTTGATGCAATAAAATTATATTCTTAAATGTTTTTTCTTATATCTTTCTTTTTATAATCATAAAATTATTTTGATATTTACTGAGATTTATCCAATGAATTGAGATTGATCATTTCATCATTTCACATTTTGCTGGAGTATACTATCTTCTAAACTCAGGTTATGACAAAAAGGCCACCGAAGTAAGATCAACAATGATGGTCGCTACAGTAAAATAAAATCACTTACATATTTTTTGAACTTTCATCGCTTCAAACCACCAACTTGTTTTTTTTTTCAAGTGGCCACTTTTGAACTTTCATCGCTTCAAACCACCAACTTGTTTAGTGGCCACCAATCTTTCTTTAAGAAAATATCGTTCTTTTTATCAATCAGAGACCATTGAGGTATAGTATACTCAAATCTCAACATTCAAAATCTGTAAATCATTATGACATTTCACCTTCTCTTTATCAATCTTTAATTCTCAAACAATAAGTTTTGTTGTTATCGTCCCTTTGCCTCGTCAAGTTTCTAGTTCTCCATGCCAACATCTCCACTATACTGTGTGGTGACTTCAACAAAGTTAGAGAAGAGGAAAACACATACCATTGACAGTCGAAGGCCAACGAGTGAGTTAGAAGTAGAGCAGCTTGATACCGGCACTCCGCCGTGTCCTTCATGAGGTACTTATTGATGGTTTTGAGTTTCTCGATAAGTGTACTTGAATTGTGAAATTTGTGAAAAGAGGATTTGAGCTAAGCGTTCTGAAATTTGAGAGGATGTAATTTATTGATAAAATTGAATCGTGCAATCACGGCATGCCACATTGTTGGTTCCACTATTCTGCTTTACCTGAAAAGTAACAATTTTCAATTAAACTACAGTGTAATATAGTGTCAAAAATTACCCAGGGGATGAATATTGAAACCAAAAGATGAGACACGTTGAAGATATATATAATAAAAATAATTGAAATATCAATAGAATGGTGAATTTAATTAATGGATTTTTTTTTTTAAATTTCTAGGAAATAACCTTAACTAGATAATGCTCATAAAGCTTCCAGCAGGCAGGGTTGAACGAGTACACGGTAGGCTCAACTTTTCTTCTTACCTCTGGTTTTTCACCTTTGCAAGCTGGAACAAGAGCAGCTGGGTTAGTGAAAGCAAGCAAAAAGTGCTAAACTAATCTAGTAAATAATAAATATCACAATTTTATGTGAATGAAGAATAAAAAAAATGATAAATAAACAAATTATGTCTTATTTTATAGATTAAAAAAATGTCTTATTGTATAGTTGAGAGGAGATGCCAAGTTGATCCAAAGTTTGTGTTAAAAATAATGATTGAAACTAATTACTAGAAACTAAATGTAATGTTTTAATTTAATTCAAATTGCAATCTAATACAAGTAATTTTCCAAAATTGATGTTGCTATGTTTTGTTCACTTCATCTTTTGGTTTTTATTCATGAGACGAGATGGGGCATTGTATGTTGAAATTCATGATGTTCTTGCTATTAATGATCTCAACACGGTTAACATATCCCAAAATTTGATGAAATAAGTGTTATTGGACCCAGGAGATCTAGATCAGCTTAACAGTAGATATTTTGTGCAGATAAATGATATTGCCATACTTCTTTTATAAAAGAAGCTCATGTCTTTTTGACCCCCTTGCATGCAGATCATTCTAACCTTATGAGCAACC